ACATACTTGCAAGAATCCTTAATGAAATATCTTCAAAATACATCCAGCAACACATTGAGATGTCACATACCATAACCCAGCTTATTATCCTAGAGATACAAGAATGAGTTCACATGTGTGATCAATACAATCATAAACTACACAAATAGAATAAAAAGCAAAAGTCATATGCTCATTGTGATTGGTGCAGAAAACGTTTTTGAAAGAATTCAATATCCACTCCTTACAAAATCCATGAAAAACTTAGTTATTATACATCAATCTCAATATAGTATAAGTTACCTGTGGGAAACTCACACCTTATACTGCTCCAAATGCTTTTTGAAAAGAAAAAATTTCTTCCAAAATTAGGAGGAAGACAAAGATGTTTACTGCTTCCTTTGTAGGTAGAATACTAGAAACTGTAGGGAAAAAGCAATACAATAGAAAGATGACAGACTCGTGTGCAAAGAAACCAGACAGGCTCCACTGAAATGCAAACAAAACACAAAAACAAACACACTCTAGACCAACCCAGCCAAGGAGGAAAGTGATCTCTAGAGTGAAAATTATGGAACACTATAGAAAAAAAGTGAGGAAGACACTAGAATATGTACAATCTGCTGTGATGTGCCATTAATAATGCTAGAGTGAGAGCATCATGACCAGGGGTGGATGGCAAGGTCGTGTAGCTTCTAAAATGTGCCCATGACAGAAGCATGGAGCCAAAAGTGGAACTAAAGAGAACATGCAGGAGGCCAAATGAGAAAAGAAATGCAGTGGGCCTAACTCCAGTGTCAGGAGTGTTTCAAAGGGGAACCTGGCCATTTCTAGGCGGAATGCTACCTACACTCCAGGTGTGCCATACATTGGCTACCTGAGGGAGGGTGCCAGCACCTTAACAATGCTTTAACTAATGGAAAATGCCCACAATCACTCTAATCTCCCCACTGAGTTGTCCACTTTGGTGGTATTTACACAAACCAGAACAAGTGCCAGAGTGCAGTATGTGCAGACATTGGCAATGAACCCAGAATTGGAAAGCAAATGTGCTACTCTGGTTACAGATCTGGATCAGAGCACTGATAGGATGGAGCCTTGAAGCTGTGTGAGCAGCACCTGAGAAGGGAGGGACTTTGGGGGACAGAGAATTGACTGATCAGTGAGTAATGAGCCACCATCTCACCCCCATACACCAGATTGCTGTTCTTGAGGGACATCCTGTGTGCTGTCCACAGCACAGCACAACATGTGCCTATGGGGGCACCTTCAGTGCCCTCTACAGACTCTGCAGAGAGCAGAGATCTCTGGGGTTGGGTCAAGTATCTGGAATAGACAGTGAGGCCTGTGGGACAGTGACTAAAATAAGACCATGAGAAGATGGACAGAGAAAAGTGCATAAGTCACGGGGGACACAGTGTGCTCCCACGTGTAATACACGACACTTCACAAGGGGAGCCCTTCTGTAAGCCTTACCTTGTGAAAGGGCACATTAGCCTGCTGCATATACCAGCAAGCACTGCGTGCACTGGAAAGCCAAGATCAAAGTCTACTTGAAAAGAGGTTCAGAAGGTGGGGTGTAGTCAGTGGCACAGTGCCTGCTTTTCAAGCTCAAGGGCAAGAGTTTGATTCCCAATTGGGAAAAAAAAAAAAAAAAAAAAAAAGCAGAAAAATGTCTTTACTAAATTTTGGTCTTGCCTTGCTCTCCAGACTTCAGGGATGACCTGGAGTTTCCAGCTGCTCCCAAAGGTCAATGCTTTTAATCTGCAGTTTCTCTGGAAGTCAGAAGTGATCCCAAAACCCCAGGAAATTTCCCAAGCCAGGACAAACCAAACCAAACCAAAAGGAAGACTCTGCAGTGAGGAGATAAGAAGGCAGCCCTTCATCTTTACACCAGCACACTGTTTGGATTTTCACGCCAGGGGACTGTTCTGGGGATAATTTCTTGAAAGCAATCAGCCTGAATCAGGAAGTAGTTCAGTCTGTATAGAATTTGAAGTGGGAGCCTTCTAGTAAGCCACGCAAACTGCACAGGTTCCAGGAAGAGAAAAGTCACATAGCACCTCCTGAGAGCCTACTGGTGCACAGGCTGAGAATCAAACCTCTCTCCCCACTGCCAAGCAACTGGCAGTACAGAGAACAGGCTGAGTCAATAACAACTAGACACATAAAGCAACTAAATGCTTGTATTGTTTGGTTGATTATACTGACCTGGGACCAGAGGTCTGAGCATCTCTTGGGAGGATGATAGTATGCAGTATGGCAAATATGGGGGATTTCCATCGAAATCCAATATTGTCTTCAAAATCCAACATTGTTCTCAATGGCCTCCTGCCAGCTTGAACTGGGCTCCCTGAAGGTTTCACCTCAGCTCCTTGACCTCCTGCTGACTTGAACTTGTTTCCACCTCCCCCTGCTGCCAGGAGCTACTGGGTGGAGCCAGCACTTGCTCTGCATTTGGAAGTCTGTTGTCCACTCTCCAAGATGTTTACTGGCCTGTCCCATTCTCCTAGGGCACATCTGTACTCGAATAACTCATCAGCCATTGCAGTACACAGTGTCCACTGCTCCACTGCACTGGTGCCTTCTCTGTGGAGTCCTCTGGGATTTCCAGTAGTCACCATGCATCCAGAGTTTCAGGCCACACAGTGAGACAGGGCTCAGGGAAAATATGCTGCTGGCCACCTCACTCTTCATTGTTGAAGTCTCTGTTTGTTCTCCCCATGGCTACAATTTTCACCTCAGATCCTCACTAGGCCTCAGGAACCCATCTGAAACCCCACTGCAGGTCTCAGGCACAAATCTGAGACAGGCTGTTCCTCTGCTGTTCTCCACTCTGCCTTCTTCCCAGAAGCTGAAAGCATCTTGATCTTACTTCAGCCATCTGGAATCCTGTTATCATTGTCTCTGAGAAAATCTTTCTTTCTTTTCCCTGCATTGCTTCTCACTACGCCATAGATAAACACAACCATTAACTGATATCTGGGATTTTACTACCAGACCCAGGTGATATTGATTTCAGGAATGTGTCTAATGGTTTTGAAATTAGCTTAAGAGAAACCAGGTACATTCCAGTTTGGATGGGCTCACTCTGGTAAAGCTTATGAAGGTCCACCATTCTTGTTTCTGCCTTGACCAAGATTCTGTACAGAGAGACTCAACAAAGATGAGACTGTTTAATCCTGAATCTTACTGCCTCTTTCTCTGGTCTGATGATATCCTTTCTTTGACAGTTGATTAATTTATACCTACTTTTCTGGGAATAATTCTCTTCTTCTCCTTCTCTGTTTTTATCTCAATCTCTTTCTACTCCTCCTTTTCCTCTTCTTCCTCTTTCTCCTTCTTTTTTGAAACAAGTTCTAACTCTGTAGTCAGGTTCACCCTGAAGTAAAAATCCTCCTGCTTCAGCATCTCAAATGCTGAAATTTCCAGCAATAATCAAATAAGCATTAATATTTGTTAAACCAGAACGTCAGAGAAATGTGAGATATTATCCTGTACAGCAGCCCCTTCCCAACCTGAAAGTTCAGACAGGTTGATTTCTTGCCACCCACCTAGTTGATCTCTATGGAACTCCAGGTTCCCTGACATTTTCCTTGAATCTGGTTTCACCCCCCTCCCAAATTAATGACCGCTCCAAAGCAGCACTTGGAATTTCATTAGAATTTTGATGAAAAGAGGGCTGGACACAAGCCAAGTGCTCCATGAATTCTGCTGTCATGGGCATCATGATCACCAATGTCAAGAAGTCACAGCCTAAGCCAGGCACCGTGCTGCATGCTGGCAATTTCAGCATTTAAGATGCTGAAGCAGGAGGATTTTTAGTTCAAGGTGAACTTGACTACAGAGTGAGAAGTTGTCTCAAAAAAGTAGGAGGATGAAGAAGAGGAAGAGGAGGAGGAGACAGAGATGGAGATGAAAACAGAGGAGGAGAAGAAGAGGAAGGGAAAACGAAGCGCACTGGAAATGAAGGGGAAGTACGAAGGGAAGGGCAGGAGGAGGAGGAGTCGGGGAGAAGAGGAGGGAGGGAGCAGGTTGTACTGGAGGCCAAGGCACAGTGAGGTGACCCTGGGAAGCAGTGCTGGGGAACCAGGAAGCAAAGCGATGCTGCTGGGTGTGAGGCTGTAGAGGGCGCAGACAGAGCAACCCCTGTTTCTTATTCTTATATTTTACTAGTGCGTGCTTTGTAGTACATAATGATTATACTGACCATGCGGGTTAGTCCATGAGCATAAACATCTTCATCCTTTTACTTCCCCTGCCTCCACCCTCCCCCACTCTTGCTCCATCTCTAGGTCCCCTTAACACTCCTGTTTCTTCTGTGTTTCCGCAAGTGTAACCCGGCTTCTCACCTCTTCCACCTCTAGGTGGTCCTGATCTTCCCAATGTTTGCTCCTACATTGTCTCTATTTGTGCCACCAAAGTACACTCAGCACAAAACAAACACATTTTCCTATCGCCACACTCTCTACTACTCCCTTATTACCACTAATTTCAGACTCCAGATTCCTGACTTACGTTGACCCACTTGCTATCTGCATTATCATTTTCTTTGTACTGTGAAACCACAAAGAATTCAAACTCCTTAACATTCATTTACATAGACTTTATCTCCTCCTCTGTATTGATAATTTTCCTGGTATTTGGAAAAACACCTAACACAGTTGACTTCAACTTGGAGAGATTTGCTTTGGCTCATGGTTTTAGCAGGTTTAGTCCATGGCTGGCTGGCTCCGCATGGTGGAAGCGCCTGATGAAGGAAAGCTGCTCCACCCGTGGCAGCCAGAAGTGGAGAGAAAAGTGTGAGTACAAGAATAATCCCTTTCAGGTCACAGCCACGTCCCTCCCCCCCCCCCTTCTCCAATTAGGCAACACAGCCTAATAGGCTTCTCAATCATAAAATCAATTAATTAATTGATGAATATAGTGCCACCATGACCAACCACATTCCAAAATCCCAACCTCCAGACACATGAGATTTTGAGGGGCATTTTAAGTCTAACCAATAATAACATCCCTGCTTTGTCAGTCTGCCTTTTTATTAGTTCAGTGTATGTTTGCGGTACCTAAGGGTTATACTCTTTGTAGAGAGTTAATATATGTACATAGCGTTTTTTGAAGATAGTAAAATACAACAAAACATGACAGAACAAAGCTAATCAAGACAATGCAGTGAAACTGGTACAGAACTTCAGAGCAGGATACCAGGATAACAGTGGTAGATACCCTAGTATATCTGGTTATCTTCATAATAGTTGTGCATCCCACATATAGCAAAATTAAACCAAAAATAGAACTTTATAAAATCATTCAAAACAGAATATTGAATAGAGTGAAATAATTAATCAGGAAAAGGCTAAACAGTAAAAACATTTGCCTTCAAAGATAAGACAGAAGCAAATCTCTCATATTTCCTATATTGTATAGATAGGGTCATCCTCTAAAAGAGAAGCTCAGACCTCTGGCCCCACATCAGCATGATCAACCCAACAATACAGGTATTTAGTTGCTTTATATGCTTCAGTTGCTATCAACTCCAGCTGACCTGGACACCGTCCAGTTGCTAATGGGACTGAGGGGACCCCTTTGATTCCCCATAGGCTCATGGGAGACACTGACTTGTTCTCTCCCTGGTGCCCCTCTGCTTGCTGGCTCACACCGCTGCTGCTTACCAGGAAGGATCCATAACACATCTTAATTTTTTTCTTTAAAATCTCTTTCCTTTCTTCCATCCTCTCCCATTTGGTTCCCTTTCCACTTGCAAAACATCTATCTGCCTATTTCTTATGTTTTAAGTTTTATTTTACTCTTTATTTACATTTTGTGTTCTCATAGGAGAAGCCAAGTTTAGCCCAAGGTAGCACACATCCATCAAAAGAGGACACTTGTGGTGATTTCACCTGCGATCTGGGCTCCTGAGGTTACTGCCCAAGCACCTGGCCTGCATCTCTAGAAGTAATCTCCTCATGTCCAGGGGAAGTGGCCCCCACTACATCTCTGAACCCAGGCCTGCACATTATCAAACAAAGGAGAGTTTGCCCACAGGAGTCCGCTAACCTTGTCATGCCACAGCTCCCAGGCCTGCTGGAAGCTCCTGGCTTCCAGTCTTCCCACCATTCTGTCTTCTGCGCTGTGACCACAGCAGCACAATTTGGTTTCCAGGGCTGGTAAAGAACTGAGGAATGGATTTGATTCCAAGGAACATGGGGGAAGGCATTCTAATTTCTAATGTCACCTTCTGGTTTTTTTTTTTTCCCAGTATTTTCTAACTTTCATTGTAGAAGTCTTTCATCTGGATTAGGCTGATTCCTAGACACTAGATTTCATTTCTGTTTTTACCTTTTTTGAGAGTGCTTGTAAATGCAGTTGTTTTCTTAATTTGTTTGTCAGCTAGCTCATTACTGATGTTTAGATATGTGTTTGACTTTTTCAGGTTGATTGTGTGTTCTGCTACTTTGTTGAAATTGTTTATCAATTATAAATGTCTTTAGGTGGGGTCTTTAGAATTTCTCAATAAAGATTTGTGTTATCTGTAAATATGGATAATTTGACTTAGGTGTTTTGTTTTCTTCTTATCCTTTTCTTATGTACATTGTTTTTCTTTCTCCTGACTAATTGCTCTGTCTAAAATTTCAAGAGTTACACTGAATAGCAGTAGAGTAAGTGGGCAACTTCACCTGGTCCCCAATTTTAGAATAAGTTCTTTCAGTTTTTCTCTGTTCAGAATGATGGGCTTTGTGGATTTGTGGTAAATGAACCCTAGAGGTGTAATCCTGCTCTTGTTAGATCCTTCAGCCTTTTATCAGGAAATGAGGTTGAATTTTGTGAAGGCCTTTTCTGCATCAAATGAGATGATACAATGCTAATCCTTGCTCTTATTTATGTACTACACCATGTATATTCATTTTCGTGGTTGAACTATCCTTGCATCTTGCCCTCCTTTTAACCAAACTAATCTGCATTAACCCCTCCCTGACTATGGTCACCCACAAAAGTGCCGAGTCCCTTAATATCTAGTTGCATGGTCTTGATTTCATCCCTTTCCCCCTATTATAATTTCTCATCTGTCCATGACTCTGTCCAGAACATGTACCCTTACCTATGCATTTTTGTGGGGAGGGGTCATTTCACACAAAATCCTGTGGATCTGGGTGAGTTCCTCCAACTTCTCCTCCAGTTCCAGAACCTTCTGCCTCAGCTTTTCAGCTAGGGGTGCCTTTGCCCCTTCTTGCAAATGCTTTGAATCTTGCACAATGTTGTACACATCCAGCCCAAGGAAGAAACCATTTACCACTGTACCTGCGACCCGGGCTCCTCTGCTCATTGACAAGGCTGTCTTTTGAAATGTTTTTTGTACTTGCCAAACCCTTTGGGCTGAGAGTCCCCCCTTGGTTATGTAGCGGATGACATCTCTTGCTAAGCCAGGGTTGGCTAGGGCTATCCTGCGAGCACGGATGTTCCTTGCCATTGTTTTCAAGTTACAGAAGAATGTATAAAAATTTATACCAATTTTAAGAAAAATCTCATCTCCTAGCAATTTCCTCACACTGTGCTCACTGCTTGACAGAATACTTTTGGCTTTAGCTTCAGCTAAGCGGGTGTTTGTTTCTTCTACAATCATAATGGTAGTGCTAGATACAGTAGTTGCTGCTCCCAGACCTGCTCCAGCTGCTGAGAGCAGCAAACTGCCCCCTGCTGTGAAGGGAGCTAGAACCAGGCCAGCGATGCTCATGACCCCAGAGACGGCCCCAACAGAGCTGGTGGCCACGTTGGAGATGGTGCAACCCTTGTGTGTCTTATCAATCTCTTTCGCAAGCTCTTGAAGTTTTTGTATACATGACTCAATTTTTGCTTTCTCCTTAGGAAATATTTCCAAAAACTTCTCCTTAGTCAAGATATCCACTGGGATTCTTTTTTGCTTCATCATTTTGCTGTTTGCTGTATGATTCTTCAAACAATCATTCAACTCCTGTGCTTCATCCCTGCAACAGTAAAGATCTGGTGTTAAGAAAAGCACTTTATTTATCTGTAACATGGGCTCAATAGGAATTATCATGCAAAACTTACAGGGGCTTTACTGTAAATCAAATAGAAAGACATTTTACAAATGCACAGAAGTTTTCCTTCACAAGTGACCACGTTTAGTACATCACAGATGGGATGTGTTCATCTTAAGATTCTCTTTAGAGGCAGCTGCTTGATGAGATACTTTCTCTCTTCCAGTCAGTGTGACAGCTACCAATTTGTAGGTAGAAGAGGAGCTCAGCAGATGAGCAAAGAGAAGAGAAAAGTGCAACTTCACTCAGAGAGACTTAGTATGTAGTGAAAACTCAGTCTAGCTCAAGAAGATTCCTCTCTTCCCCTCATTACTGGCAAGTGGTCTGTAGACACTTGGAACCTTTTGCCCTCTTGAATATCTGTGTGTGACTAGAGATTTTGGCTACAATGCCACACAGTTTGAACACAACTTATCTGAAAATCCAATATCTAAAAATGCTCCCAACTCTCAAAGCTTTTGAACATATACATAATGTCACAGGTAGAAAAATCTCACATGTGATATAACTAAATAGGTCACATTCAAGATGCAGGCATGCTAAAAATGTTATATAAAATTACTTTCACATTATATAAAAAAGCATAAACGAATTTGACCCTTTACTTGTGGGTCCTGCACCCACATCTCATTATTTTCTCATGATGTATTAAAAATCACTTCAAAAATAAAAAAACTCTAGAATCTAAAACATTATTCATAAAACATACTCAGCCTTCACATGATGGTGTTCCGGTGGGTATGGGATCATTTCTGTCCTTCAGAGGAACTCGATACTAAGCAACTAACCTCTGGGATAGGAAGGAGTCTTCAGGTAAACCCTGAAGACAGTGTGTGATTCAGCTCCCCAAAACTCTAGATATCAATGAGTGGGTTAAAAAAATAACATTTTCCTTGACCAAAATTTAGTGAGAAACTTTTGAGTCTCTTCTCAAATAGGTGTGGACTTGGCCTTCCATGTCAGCCCTGTGCCTTTGGGCTTAGCAAAAACCCTATCAAGTCAGATTACTGAAAAGCTTGCATTCTTCACATCTGTTCAAGTCCCCATTCCTGACTTTGACGTGTTTTCCATGATCTGCTTTAGAAAGAGACACACTGAGACCTCACTGCCAGATTGCCCTCCTCTTTATGTCCCTGGTGGTTGTTAGCTCACTATCGCCCCTGACTTTGCTTGTTGGATCTTAATCCTTAGCTGTCTTTACTGTCTCTGAGTTCTTTCCATCTCTCTCCCTCATCTCCACAATCCTCCTGTCTAAAGTCCTGTATACTGTTTCCACATATGTCAGAATAATGCCTTATGTCACAGAGTGAGCCACAGCGATGGGCAATTCTCCATCTGAGTTGTCTCACATTAAATACAGGACCTCACTGTGTCCTGTGGAAAATATATGGTTCAGGTTTGAAACTCTCCAGATTCTGTTTATGTGTCTGTTCCTCGGGCTGGTTTTAACTGTGTCCTTTCTGGGTGGTGAGCTCTGTCACAGCTGTTTACAGTGAGTTCTGTAAATTCTCTAGAGTCATCAACCCTGAAGGTGGTTGGTGTCAACAATAAGAGTGGCCTTAGGGCCTGTTGTGTTTTCAGACTCTGCAGTTTGACTAATGCTTGGAAATTAAAATAGAAAGAATGAAACACCAGTGTGGGAAGCAACTGAATCTGGAGATCAATCACAGGTGCAGGTTTAAAGCAAGTCCAGCCCTGAGAACACAGAAAGCCACGTAAAGCGGCTCCAGCTCCAAGACCACAAGGTGCCCATGTGAGCCAGGCAAGCAAGTTTCTAGATAGAAGGGTTGAAATGGATGTTAACCTCCCGAATCTGTAAGTAAATGCACCATGCTGGTTGAGCAGTTCCTTTCCTCCCATCCACAAGATGGCTCCACCTGACCTCAGCTTTCTGTCTCTTATCTTTATTTCTTCATTGTCTTCCCATCCTTCCACCTGCAAACTTTGAGAGCTGCACTAGACATGACACCCCAGAACCAGAAGAGTCTGCCTGTTGTTTGGTCTACCATCAGTTCTTGACCCATCCTGATGCTCTCTGCTCTTCCCAACTGAATGTCACTGGGGCCCATTACCTTCATACTAGAAGGGAATCAAGACCTGGCTCCTGGCACTGCCTCCATTCTGACTCTGCAACTACCTAACTGCATCTTGATACATCCACTCCACTCCTGAACCCAGCACCTTGAAATTCAGGATGAATGTCTGACATCACCCACCTAATAAATACCTTGGTTAGTCACAGCTTCACATTTGTGCAATCAACACAATGTACAAGGATTTGTAAGACACTATATATGTATTACTAAGCCTAAAAGGACCTGAATTTGGACTTGATTAAGAGAAGGAATATTTTCCTCTTTGATGAGGACTTCTGAGTCTCTTATAGTCTCTAGAATGGCACAGGTAGAGAGAAAACTATTCCCTCTTCAGAAATGGTCAGTAAGTCACACTGCTTTCCAGATGGCTAAGAGTTACTAGTATAAAAGGGTTTCCAAAATCACAACTGAAAACTGCCAGCACCCAGAAACCCATAGCCCTCTATATTCATTAGTGATGGACCACAGCAAGTGGACAAAGCATCCCATCTCCCAGCCACGTATTTTCTGCTGGAGCTGTGGCCTCCCAGTGTTTTGAACTTTTAGCTCGTCCTTTGGTTCACACTGGGCCCAACCCTGCGGCCTCAGACTCCTTAAATTTCTGCATTCAACTGTCCGTATCCCTCAACCCTGAGCTCTGGTTCTGACCCTTGTGTGGGTCATTCTAGGTCTTTTGAAAGATATTATCTGTAAGTTACTTAGTCCCCCACCTTTAATCCCACAGCTCACTCCTGGTCCTTCACCACAGTGCTATCAGATTGAATCGCTGGGCCTGACACACAGCTGACACTCAGTATCCATGGCACAAGCCTTCCACCCAGCTCTGTCCAACTCCACTCTGACCTCTTTGTCTTCTGGGCCACAGAAAAATCCTGCTGCATTTGTGTAGTTCCTGAGTTGGGGAGAAAAATGGCCTGATGTGGAATCCCAAGGAACATGCACTGAACATGTTTAATTGTTTTGAGCCAACAAAAAAGTCAGTCCTTCTTGGATGGCATCTCAAAAGAGGAGAGCCTTGGCCCTAGTTTCTTCCCAATCTGTCTTTGCTTGAGCACATATTGTGTGTCACCATATGCTAAGCACTGTCTATGCATTATCATGTTTTTCTTAGAATAAAAAATAATGGATGAAGCAACTAAGTCAGAAAATGGTAAAATAACTTGCAAAAGTCATATAGCAAGCAGATGCCCAACTCCCATCAACCCAAGGCCATTCGCTGCCAAGTATTAACAGGGAGGAAATTTCCGTTAGGGATTTTAAGAAGGGTCACCATCAAGCAGGAAACCACTTGGAGAAGGCATGTATGCCTAGAGAAATCCGATTTGGTGGAGGTCAGTTTGGCATTGCTTATGGGCACCATGTTAGATACCTGGACAATTCAGCTTCTTTCACAAACATCTTCCAGATGCTATCATAATTTAACAGTCTCTGCAGATCATCTGTACTCGTGGAGTCCGTGATACACTTACTGACATTCTCAATGAAATTCATGCACTCTAAATTGGGAGAAAATGAACAAGGTGAGAAAAGGATACAGGGCAGTGTCAATGGCTAAATGTTCATCTTTCTGAGCATCTCTTACGTTGGTTGTGGGCTTTTTTACTTTGTTTTGCTTTTTATTTTTTTTTCCATTACCAGGGGTTGAACCAATGGCCTTATTTGTACTAGGGAAATGCTCACCCACAAAGCTTATAGTCTTTGATTTTTTTCATTTTATACTGAGACTAGGTCTTCCCAAGTTGCCCAGACTGGGCTTGACTTTGCCATCCTCTGGCCTCAGCCACCTGAGGAGTTGGGAATATAGGTGTGTGCCACAATGGTTGGATAGATGTGATACTTTTTGATGTAGTGATTTTTGTGAACAAAATTATGCCTCCAAATTTCATATGATGAAGATTTAACTGCCTGGCTGTATTTGGAGATAGGACCCATAAGGCATTAAAGTAATTAAGATCCAATGTGTTGTAAAATTAGAGACCAAATTCGTAAGACTTGTGTCCTTATAAGGACAGAAGAGACAGCAAACCTCACCTTCTCCTCCCTTTGTCTCACTCTCTGCTCCTCTCTCTCTCCCTCACATTCCCTCTCTCTTCTTGTATCTTCATGGAAAATAGAAAAGCTATAGCCACATAAGGTAAGAAGGCTCCTTCTGCAAACAAAAATACAGCCCTTACCAGAAATCAGCCCTGCCACCTGCCACATATTGAATAACTTTGTCTCCCAGAACTATGAGGAAAGGCCATCTTTTACTTAAGCCACCTAGTCATAGATTCAAAAGGACAAGAAACAAAATCTAACAGTATGGGATATATAAGAAATGCATTTGGACTTCAAAGAATATGGCAGAGTGGTAAGCAGCAGAGAAAGAGGCTCTCCAAGATTTGGGGTTCAGCCACTGGAATATAGCAACATGAGGAAGAGAATAAGGAGAGAACTGGGTCACCTGGACCCAGGAAAGATCTAAAGTGAGACTTGAACCCCACAAAGAGATAATCCAGTAATTCAGCAAAAATAAGAAAACCAGGCCCATCACCAGAGTCCCTAGGACAGGAAGCCATGCCCCTCAGTGAACCCACTACCGCAGCCTGGAGAAGAAGCTCGCCCTCTACTTCCCCCACTAGTGAGCCAGCAACTGCAGGCCCAGAAGAGAAGAAGACATGCTCCCTGGTAAGCCAGCAGCCACTGGCCTGGAGGAGAAGGAGTCATGCTCCATGGTGAGCCCAACCCAAAACAAATTCAGGAAACTTAGACACAAAGGAAATTCGAAGTCACACACTGAAAAGTTCTGAAATGGTAGCAACTGAAATGGGTAAACAACTTAGTGTTTATATTGTTTGATTAATTTTGCATGCCTATATCTCATCCAGACGAAATCTGGGAAACATATCAAAGAAATTAGAAGCCACACATCTGAAATTAGAGTAATTAAAGAAACAACTAAGAACTTGTACTATGTGATTAACTTTGCATGCCTGTATCTAGATGTCTGAGCAACTATTTGGAGGATAACAATGTGCAGTACAGTAATCATTATGGGTTCCCTACTGTCTTCTTTTTGAAATCCAAAGTCGTTCTCATTGTATTGTTTTGGTTTGTTGTGTTGTTTTGTTTTGCTTTATTATCTTTAAAATAACAAAGTATCAAAAAGAAAAGAAAAAAGAAATACATTTAACCCAGAAGAGAATTTATAGTTTAAAAAAATCAAAGAATATAAATTAATATTCCATGAGATAGAAACCCAAAGCCAAATCATAAGTAGTTATCCTACTTTCAGATGAGGTAAACTTCTAGCCAAAAATGATCAGAAGAGACAAAGAAGGTGGCTACTTATTGATTAAGGATCAAATCAACCGGAAAAGAAAACATAAATATGTATGAACCAAACACTGGTGAAACCAGCTTCATAAAACAGACATGATTGGTATCTAACATCAGGTGAACATCAACACTATTACGATGGGAACCTCAATGCCCCACTGTCACAAATAGATCAAATAGACAAAAGAATCAACACAAAAACATCAGAGTTGAACAAAACCTTGGAATAAGAGACTTAATAGATACCTACATAGCGCTCTATCCAAAAATAACAGAATACACATTATTCTCAGTAGCACGTAAAATTTCTTCAGAAAAGACCATATTTCTTAATAAAGTATAATTAAGTTGATATGAAAGAAATAAATTATCCCATACATGTTTTCAGACCATAGTGCAATTAAAAGAAACCAGTGATAAAGAAAAGAACCAGGCCACACCCAGCCACCTCCAAGCAGCCAAGGGGGCCCCCCCGAATCAAGTCCCTGGCCCTGACCATGCATGTAGGTTGAAATTGACTGCAATGAGAAAACTGGAGACTTTGCTCCCAGGTGGTAAGATCACTTTCTGGGTCTGAAATCACCCTAAGACCCATGAGAGGTACCACTGGCCTAACTGGGCCACGCCCAGTCACCTCTAAGCAAGCAGAGCCCGGAACCCAGTCCCAGGCCTGAACTGCACACGGGTTTAATTTCAGTTCACAAGAAGCCTTAGAACTTCACTCCCAGACAGTAAGACTATGCCCTCTGTCTGAAATCACCAAAGGACGCAAGGAGTCCCCACGGGCCCAACTGGCCTGCACTCAGCGAGCTCCAAGTGGCAAACAGTTGCCAGCAGTCTGCCCTGGGAGCCAAAAGTGGAAAATTCCCAGTGCATTTGGGAAGCTTTGAACCATCGCTCAAAACCTGGAAATAGGCACAACTCTCACCAGCACTGAGGAATGCAACACCGCCCTGGAACCTTGGCCTGGGTCGCCGTGAGCTTCCTGCTGGACTCCCACCGGCACTGTGAAATAAGTGCTTCCTTCAGACCTTAGCCCACGCAGCTGCCCACTTTCTGCATGATCCCAGTCAGCATTGAGGAGAGCTACCTTGTCCTGGGAGCTTGGCCTGCACCCAGCGTACACCAATACCCAGGACATCTGCTGGCCCCTCAGGGACACTCCCTACTTCCTGAACCGTATACTGCTTTGATCTTTAGCTCCCAACCTTTCTTCCAGAACCTTGGACTGTAGCAGATTAACTGTGCTAGCTTGAAAGCAGATTCAGTAACTGCCTCATCCAAACAAAAGATCTCAGCAGGCTCTAGTCAGTATGGTGAGTATGCCTCTAAAAAAGAGGTGTACAGTAGGTAAATAGGGCCAGTAGTAAAGCTCCCTCCGACTAACTGTAAGAACTTGAGGAGTCTGGCAAGAATGTGGTGACACCTTCCTACACACAGAAAACATCAGGCAGGGTGAGGAATATGCCAATAAGGACTCCCCCAACCTGGAGAAAATCAAAAGGACTTATGAGACACACAGGCACACAATAGGGACACAGTAGGGCCTCAGATGACACAAACACTATACACAGGGAGATTTGATGACCTGAAATAACCTTAAGATAAAGTAATAGCGGGAACTAAAAGTTGACGTACATCAATACTACTAGGCTTCTCAGCCCAGGAAGAATATAGGACTCACCAAAAAGGCCTTCAGTGGGAAATCAGGTGACTGGCCCAGGTCTTCACTGAGGGACCCAGCAATTGGACAAACATCAAGCTTACATTAGGACCCCAACATACACACTACCAACTGTTGATACTAGTGGGATTGAAGGATCAAATATCAACTCGAAAGGGAAAAATGCCAAAATGAAAAAAGGAAAATGCAATCTCCAACATCTAGTCCACCAGGAGCAAGAACAGGAGACATTGAAACATAGGACTTCAAAAGTAATACACCAGGAATCTCTGAAAAGATAGGGAGTGAAACAAAAAACAACTCTATGGGGCTATAGAGGAAAGCAAATTAGAAGTACTCTGCCATGTAAAGATAGAAATAACAACCTTAGTAAAAGAGTTTCTGAGCACAGCTAAAGAAGAAATAGACTTTTAAAAATGTACAGAAGCATGGGAAACTGATTGAAACCCTGAATGAACAATATAGAACACAAGCACAGTTCATAAAACAGATTCAAAAAGACATCCAAGTAACAAAAATTCTATTCAGAAATGGCATAATCATTTAAATGAAGCTGAGGATAGGATTTCACACCTTGAGGACAGGATTGCATTTAGCGATCATGAAAGGAGAGAAATTTAAAAATAACAAAGCAGCATGAAATGAAAATCCAGCAGCTTCAGATGATGCCAAGAGCAACAATGTAAGATTAATAGGCATCAGTGAAGATCAGGAGTCAAAGTAAATGACATAACTAAAATATTCACAGAAGTAATAGCAGAAAATTTCCCAAACACAGAGAAAAACTCTGAAATGTACATAAGTGAGGCATACAGAATGTCAAACAGTCACAACCAACATAAATATACACCAAGCCATATGAAAATTAAGATCCCAGACATACAGCATAAAAACAGAATACTAAAAGCTGTTAGAGGAAATACACAACTAACCTATCAAGGAAAGCCTATTAGAATCACAGCAGACTTTTCAGCACAAACCCTCAACTAAAGACAAGTTTGGAGTGAGGTATTTAAAGCCCTGAAAGAAAACAACTTTCAACCCAGACTGGTGTACCCAGAAAAACTTTCCTTCAAATTTAATGGAGAAAAAAAGATACTTCCATGACAAAGAACAACTGAAGAAATTCACTTCCATCAAACCAACCCCAGAAAGAGTATTGAAAGACATACTAGATTGAGATAAAAATGACCACAATCCCCAGAACAACAACAAAAGGAACCACCAGGCTGGACAAGCAATTAAATGAGGGGAAAAAGCAGAAAGCAAACAACTGGAACATAACATGGCAAAGTCGAGCCAGTACATATCAGTGATATCCATAAATGTAAATGGCCTGAATTCACCTATCAAAAGAAATAGGTTGATAGGATGGATCAAAAAACACGATCCCACAATATGCTGTATACAAGAAACACATCTGACCAAAAAGAAACACATAGATTAAAAGTCAAAGGATGGAAAACAGTATTTCATGCAACAAGAACACAGAAA